GCTCTGTCCTGTGCCAATCGCACCATCTCTGATACACCCATCCTGATTACCCCAGTCACTGAATCAATCCACCTCATAGGGGGCCTTCCCATTCTGCATTGTCCCTCCACCCTACCAAGCATGATGTCCCTCTCCAAGGACCTGTCCCTCCTTGCTACATGTCCAAAGTATGTTAGACAGAGCCTCAGAATCTTTGCCTCCAAGGAGCAGCCTGGTTTGACCCTTTCCAGGATGAATTTGTTTGTTTGTTTTCCTAGCAGCACATGGTTCCCTCAATACTGTTCTCCAGCACCACAGCTTAAAGACATCAATTCTCCTTCTATCCTCCTTGGTCATTGTCCAACTCTCTGATGCATAACAAGTGATAGCAAAGACCATGGCCTGTATTAGATGCACCTTAGTCTCCAAAGAGACACCATTGCTCTTCAGTACTTTGGAGAGGTACCTAACAGCAGACTTTCCCATGGCAATACGTCTTCTAATTTCCTGTCTACTGGTGCCGAGTGTTGACTGTGGAGCCAAGCAAACTGAAGCAGTGAAAAATCTCAATCTCTTCACCATCCATCCTGTGCTGCCAATTGGTCCAGTGATGAGAATCTTTATCTTCTTGACAATGAGCCTCAATCCATATTGGAGCCTGCAGTTCTTGACCCTCTGCAGCAAGCACTTCAGGTCCTCCTCAGTTTCAGCAAGCAAGGTTGTATCATCTGCATATCACAGACTGTTGATAGATCTTCCACCAATCTTGACCCCACATTTCTCCTAATAGAGCCCAGTCTCCTGGATAATCTGTTCTGCATACAGATTGAAAAGGTATGGAGACAGGACACATCCCCGGCATACGCCCTTCCCAATTTTGAACCATGCAGTGTTTCCTTGCTCTGTTCTGATGACTGCCTCTTGGTCGCAAGTAGAGTTTTCTCATTAGCACGATCAAGTGTTCTGGTATTCCCATTCTTCTCAGAGTCAGCCACAGTTTGTTATGATCCACACCATCAAACACCTTTGCATAGAGATAGTTAATAAACCCTGGCAGTCTATTTTCGAAAAATCCACCATTAAAAAACCTGATGGAGCAGAATTCTCATCTGACATTCCTGGGAGGTCATCATGAGCCCAGGAGTAGCTTCACAGCAACTGGTTTGTGTAGCTAGAGAAAATGAATACATTTTCTTAAGACACGAATTTATTCCCAGTAAGTAAAAACCTCCTTGTAAGTGCATTTTCATCACGAACTTAGGAAACTACACTTAGGCTTTCTGACTGGTAAGTGAGTGAGTGATGGTACCATAAGATCAGTTTCTGAAAATATTCCTTGCAAATCTTGAGCAACCAAGGTAACTTCTGTTTTTCTAGAACAGCCTGACAACATTCACAACATGTACAACATGGACAAACTAACTAGGAGTTACTGACTTACCATCTTGGCACAGGTGTGAGGAAGGGAGGTGACACCAATGAAGGCTCCAAACTAACTGCTATTCGGCATCCTCTGAGGCCTGGTGTTTGTCAACTGGGTTAGAGAAACACCTTTTGGATATGGCACTAAAGTTTCTAACCCTGCCCTCCTAGGATGTGCGCTCTGGCTCTTGCTCTCTCTCACTCTCATTGCAATTGAGTTGGAACTGACTCATAGTTGATCTTCCAGTAGATTTTTGAAAGGCTATACATTTCATAAGGGGAGACTGGTCATCCTTCTCCTGTGGAGCAGCTGGTGGATTTAAACCTGCCTTTGGTTGCCAGTGTAACTCCCTATCCACTAGATCACCAGAGCTCTGAGTCGGGTGGGGAAATCTACATAGAACTTTGTGCCATGTGCCATGCAGAGTTTGGGTTATGAAAATGGCCAGAAGAGGAACTTAGAGTCCCTTGATTATAGTGCTAGATAGAGAACATATAGCAAAAAATTTCAGCCCACTTAGTTAAGCCTGAGTTCCTATTCAATGGTACATAACAACAATGACAAACAGCTAAACTTAACTAGCCAAGAGAGATCAGAAGCAGGCAGACCTCCATGAAGTCTCTCAGATTTGTAGAGTCATCATTTCTACTCAATCTTTTCAAGTTGTGAGGGTAATGACTCCAAACTGGACCTGAATTTGTTATGGTGCATTGTCTGTTTCTTCGTGTAACTAATGCAAGCAACTTTCTGTGTGCCGATACTCTGGAGCACCTGCTGTGTTGCCCCAATTAGAATAGTATGCTCTTCCTAGAGGAGACACTACTTTTGATCATACATCCTTTCTGCAATGGTCTTCTGCCTATTTAGGAGTCTGGGACAAGCTGTGAGTGCATCACACAATCATGAGATCACCATTAATATGGGGAGGCAACATCCCATTTTCACCATAGGTGCACTGCCAATCCTATCTTCCTTTTCTACTTCTAATTTTGTTTTTTTTTTCTAGTTGATTTAAGGAAACTGGGTAGGACAGCACAAAATATATTGAGAGGCTAAATGAGCAGTTTTCTCTCCTAACAATCTGCAGCCTCAGAATCCCAAATAAAAATGAATTGGATGGCAGTGGGTGTGGTTTTAGATTTAGCTGATAGTTTTATTTATCTTTTTAACAGTTTAGTAAGGGCAATCAATAAGGTTGCATTTATAGTAACCAACTTACTAAACTTATGTTTAGAAAACTTCCCAGATAGTCTATTGCATTGTGAAGGAACATAAGACATTTATACATCAATAAATCCTACTTTGAAAAAAATGCCAGAGTCTAATTTCTGGTCAACCACTAAGTGCTTTTGGGAAGTTTCACTTAAACTTTTAAAAAGAGAATTGTTTTGCATTCAGATAAATATTTGCTAACCCAAGATCATTCTTCACTCTCAACAATAGCAGAAACTGTTATTCTCCTTTCCTTCCAGGGAAAGATAAACCATCACAATAGCAATCTGAAATCAACGGATTAAGGCTTATCTTGTGAGTAAAGAGCAAATTTATCACAGAGTTAACCATTCATAATGTGTTTTGTAATGTTGCTAAGAGCCACTGAGTTGATTCTGACTCATAGAATGAGCCCCTGCCCAGTCCTGTGCCATACTCCCAACCTCTGCTGTGGTAATCCTTGTATAAATCTATGTAATTGAAGGGCTTCTTCTCTTTCAATGACTCTCTACCTTTCTAAGTATGATATCTTTTACCACAGACTGGTCCCTCCAGATAAACCTGTATGAAGTATGGGAGACCAAGTCTCATCATCCTTACTTCTCAGGAACACTCTGATTACATTTATTCCAAATGAAGAAAAGAAAACAAAAATGAAGAATAAAGGTGCCACGTTGGCATTAATAATAGATCAAATTTCTGAAGAACAGTAAGTACAAAACTGTCTTGAAGAACCTTCAAGTACTGAGAGTTCAACCTAGAGAAAATTAGTAAATCACTCATTTCCTCTGTAGTACACACTATGATATTAAGGGTTTTTTTTGGTTGTTTTTCTCTCAAAACATTTTTTAATTGAGATTTTAATGTAAGTTTATACAGAATTTGGGTTTCCAATAGTTCATTGTTGCACATTTTCCTCCCTGCCCCCGCCCCCCTCAGATCACTCTTTACTTTGGGGAAAAAAGTTCTTTCATTGTTATACAGTCCCCTCTCCCACAGACCATTTTCATACACAGCTCTTATTCTGGACTTTTGTCATGCCAATAATACCTAATCATATATTCCTTTCATACATTTCTCTCCCCCATCTGTTTCAATGCTGTGTAGATTATTTATCCCCTCTTTTCTTAGTTTTCTCCCAGCTCCCATGGCAGTCCTATTTTATAACAGTGGCATTATGTATGGATTTTTAAAGTCATGCCATTGAAGGCTGATTCCAGAAGTCAAATAAATTTTAATTGATAATAATGTCAGTGGTCAGGTATCGTTTAATCCTAGACTGCAAAGGTAAAGGGAGGAAAAAATATTGTACTGCTAACCCAAAGCAATGCCTTTCTGGTAGTTCACATCCATCAGTAAAGCTCCATGAAAGAAAAATGGGCAACTCCTTGCTGTGCAACTGACAGTCTCCCCAAAACTGTGGGAGGGTCAGCTATGAGTTGGTTCAGTCTTGACAACAATGAGTTTGTTTTGGTTTGTTTATACTTTTTTTTTAAGTTTTGAGAAGTAATTCATAAACAACAGCAGATGCTAGAGGGGAAAAAGCTGCACTAAGATATTAAAGTGGAGGAGGGACTAGATCAACATAATGAGTATTTCATGTTAGAATTTATTTATTACTTGAACTTAGTTTAGTCAAAATGTGGAAAAGGAATGGATAAAGAGAAAAACATATTTAGTGATTAACTAATATGCTAGAATCTGTGATAGGTGCTTAGGTGCTTCCCAGAGGTTAATTTATCTAATCCTTTATGCATAGAAAGACTGGTGGCAAAAAGCCATTTTTCAATCAAAGAAAGTAGGTGCTAAAAGAAAAAGTAAATTGCTGAAGACCACTTAGCCAATGAAGGCCACAACCAAGATTTGTATCTATAGCTTTCTAGTCAATGATGCAGGACCAGTTGAAGATCAGTATAATGAGGTGTTCAATCAGAGAACAAAGAGTTTACCCAGTGACATGTGTATTTGTATTTGTTTACTGAGCTTGGTGGTGTTTTGTTTTTTTTTTCTGGAGGGTTTTTTTTGGGGGGAGGGCGGGATTGTGTGTACTGTTCAGTTGGATACAACTGGCACAAGAGGAGATTGCCCCTCCTTCTCCAGTTGAACATCTGGTGGGTTTGAACCGTGCACCTTGGGGATTGCAATGCAGCTTCTTGCTACTAGGCCACCAGAGCTCCCTGATGTGTATTTGTATTTATGTGTACTGATCTTCAGCTGGTCTTTATTCACCCCTCTTCCTCCTTTCCCTATGCTGTTTCCTTTGTATGTTCTTGCTAATAGTCACTACCATTCTCAGGAATGGAAGGACACGGAGCTATTTGACCAAAATGACTTCTCTACTTTTCAGGGCCACAGCTCCAGGGAGCTGGGCAGTCTCGGGATTTACCTTTGCAATCTGCACACACCAGTTGAGGAGGTACTGGGAGCCAATATTGTCCTTGTGTTCACGGACATAGTCCAGGAGGCAGCCAAAGGGCATGAGCTGTGTGATGAGTTGGACTGTGGAGGTCAGGCAGATGCCCAGCAGCCGGCAAACGTGAGGGTTGTCCACACTGGCCATGACGTAGGCTTCCTGCAAGAAGAAGAGGAAAAATGGCATTGGAAAGGCATCTCAGGACACCACCAAAATAGAAAACTATAGGCCAATATCTCTCATGAACATAGATGCAAAAATCCTGAATAAAATACTGGCCAATAGAATCCAACGATACATCAAAGTAATAATTAAATAATTTACCACGATCAAGTGGGATATATAGCAGATATGCAAGGATGGTTCAACAAAAGGAAAACAATTAATGTAATTCATCACATTAACAAAGCAAAGAACAAGAACCCCATGATCCTATCAATTGATACAGAAAAGGCATTTGACAAAATCCAACACTCTTTCCTGATTAAAACACTCAACAAAATAGGATTAGAGGAGAATTTCATCAGCATAGTAGAAAGTATTTATGGAAACCTGAGAGAGAACATTGTTTTCAATGGAGAGAGGTTAAAGGCATTCCCTTTAAGAACAGGAACTAGGCAAGGATGCACACTATCACCTCTCTTATTCAATATTGTATTGGAAGTCTTAGCGATAGCAATAAGACAAGAGAAGGGAATAAAAGGTATCCAAATTGGCAAAGAGGAGGTAAAATTATCTCTCTATGCAGATGATATGGTAGGATACTTAGAAAACCCAAAAGACTGAGCAAGAAAACTACTGGACACAATGGACCAATTCAGTAAAGTAGAAGAATACAAGATCAATATACAATAATCAGTTGGATTTCTTTACAGTGACAAAGAGGATGCAGAGTTGGAACTAAGAAAAACAATACCATTCACAATAGCTAATCACAAAATTAAATACTTGGGAGTCAATTTAACCAGAAGCACAAAGGATCTATTCAAAGAAAATTACAAAACATTACTACAAGAAACAAAAAGAGACCTGGAGAAGTGGAAGAATATCCCTTGTTCATGGATAGGAAGACTCAATATTATGAAAATGGCAATACTACCAAAGGCAATTTACAGGTTCAATGCAATCTCAATAAAAATACCAATCTCACTCTTCAAGGAGATGGAAAAGGCAATCTCCAGTTTCATTTGGAATGGAAAGAAGACCCAAATAAGCAAAACACTCCTTAAAAATAGAAGAAAAGTAGGAGGTATCTTACTCCCTGATTTCAAATCCTACTACATTGCCATGGTGTTTAAGACAACATGGTACTGGTACAATGACAGACACATAGATCAATGGAATAGAATTGAGAATCCAGAGATCAGCCCATCTATCTATTGTCAACCGACAAGGAGATGAAATCAGTGAAGTGGGGAAACGACAGCCTTGTTAACAAATGGTGTTGGCAAAATTGGAAAAGTATCTGCAAAGACTCAAGCCAGATCCACACCTCACTCCATATACAAAAACCAACACAAGGTGGATGATGGCCCTAGGACTAAAACCAAGGACTATAATCTTCATTAAAGTAAAGCTTGGAAGAATGCTAGAAGTTCTAATCTCCAACATAAACAGTCTTTCAAGTATCCTGAAAAACCTAGAACCAGGAGAAGATAAAATGGGTGGATGGGACCTTCTAAGAATCAAATCCCTATGCACATCCAAAAACTTCCCCAATATGGTAAAAAGGGAAGCAACAGACTGGGAAAAAGTATTTGGTAATGACATTTCAGATAAGGGACTTATATCCGTAATTTATAAACTACTTGAGCACCACAACAAGATAAAGGTAATAATCCAATTGAAAAATGGGCACAGGATATGAACAGACACTTCACCAAAGAAGATATTCAGATGGCTAACAAACACATGAAGAAATGTTAAAAATTCCTAGCTCTAAGAGAGATGCAAATGAAAATGACTATGAGATATCATCTCACCCCAGTCAGAATAGCAAAATTTAACAGAACAGCAAGCAACAAATGCTGGTAAGGTTGTGGAGAAACTGGAATCATTATTGATCATTGATGAAAGTGTAAAATGGTGCAAACACTGTGGAAGGTGGTATGGTGCTTTCTCAATTCCACTATTGGGAATATACCCCAAAGAGACCATAACTGACATCCAAGCAGATATATGTACACCCATGTTTATCGTGGCTTTGTCCACAATAGCAAGGAGGTGGAAACAACCCAAGTTCCCATCAACAAACGAATGGATAGAGAAGCTGTGGTATATTCATACAATGGAATACTATGCTGCATTGAAAAACAAGGAACTCATGCAATATTATTCAAAATGGGTGACCCTGGAAGACATTATGCAGAGTGAAGTATCTCAGTCACAAAAGGACAAATACTGCATGGTGACACTGTTGTAAAACAGGACTGACATCGGGGTTGAGGGGATACTGAGAAAGATGGGTTCAATAATGTATGCTGCACTGAAACAGATGAGGGAGAAAACTGTTTAAAAGGGATATGTGATTAGGTATTTGTGTCATGACAGGAGTCCAGAGTGAAGGCTGTGTAGTGGAGTGGACCTAGGGGGAGGGATTGTAAAACAATGAAATAATTTTTCTTTTACTTTTCGAAGAAGGTAGTGTACTGTGGGGGAGGGTTAGGAGAGGATAAAAGTACAACAATCAATGAATGGAAATCCAAAGTCTCTGTAAATTTTCACTGAAATTAAAATTAATAATAAATTAAAAAAGAAAAACGTGTGGGGGTGGGGAGGGGGAGAAAGAAAGGCATCTCCAGAGAAAGAGTCGAAGCACAGTTTCAAATTTCAAAATATGTACCTGGGGAGAACAGGTTGGTATCTAAAACACCAAGTTCAATGAACACTTTAAAAAGATCTTTTATATTTCCTCTATTTTTCATCACTCTCAAGTCAGAACTAACTAACTCATGGCTGTCCCCCCAGTCTGTTCCCTAGGCTATAAATCACACACAAAAAGAGATGGTCCATCTTTCTCCTTCAGAGCCATTGGTAGGTTAAAAATGCTAGAGATGCATCTTCTTAGGGTCCACAGCATAACTCTCTACAGACCAGGCCACCAGACTTCTCTTTTACATCTTTAATGGACAAACTCACTGCTTTTCATTTGAAACTGACTTATAACTTATCCTGCAGTGGATTTTCAGAGGCTATAAATCAGGAACATGGGAGGAGATTGCTCAACACTCCTTCCGAATAGCTGGAGAGCCCAGATTTTCACTCTCTTAGGTTCATAGTCAGTACTGGGGCTTTGGATTACTTGGTTCCCAAGATTCATTTCTGTAGACAGTATGCTGTGTTATAAGCCCTCAGCACCATACCCTTTACCTAGGCCCAACTAAGTCTGATGATGGAAAAATCACTAGGTCTGTTAGTATGACACTGACACTACCTCAGGCATGCTGACAAAGCAGGATCCTTTATGTAACACAAACCGGTGAACATAGTCCTCATTGTTACCCTTCTGTAAAAAACTCATTTTCTGGGGGGGCGGGGAGAGGGGTGCAACAATGAATGAATGGAATTCCAAAATCTCTGTAGATGTTCATTGAAATGAAAAATAAAGAAATTTTAAAAAAACAAAAAAACCCCTCATTTTCTTTGGACTGAGGAAGCAGATTTATTGAAAATCACCCACAAGAAGAAACCTTTTCTCCGTGTGGATGAAAATTAGAAAAGCCTCAACTTCACCCATAAATTCTCCTCTTTTCCCATTAAAATGTAAATGTTGGAGTCAGTATTTCAAATGTGAAAAACGTTCATCTCTTCAAGACAGAGAGAAGGTAGAGGGTGCCTTTTCACTCTCACTAAGTGACCCCTTGATTTCAGCACAGATTTTCACAAGTTAGTGTCTCTCTCTGCAGACACTAGAGAAGTGCCTGAGTGTACCAAGTATTGCTTGAGAAGATCCACCACTGGGTCAGACCCACCATCTGGCCAGGCCTGCAGGGTCCAGGGGATAGGGATAAGAGACAGTGATGGTGGTCATGAGGGTGAGAAAAAGATGGACATTATATACACACACATATACACACACACACACACACACACACACA